CCGCACGCGGCGGTCTTCCGATCTTTTCTAGTACAGTGGTTAATACGTCTGCCCGGTAAGCAGGAGGTGCATGGTTCGATTCCATGCGAAGGGGGATTCTTTTTCTCCATTCTGTCGTCATTCGAAGATAAGAGACATAACATTCATATTTTTGCAGTTTGTTCCTTTTTCTTAAAGATTTCACTCTGTGTGGCAGGAACTATTTTAACCATATATCGATGTAATAGAGTTCCTTTAAGCTTGGGCCATCACATTCTCGAACCGCCTATTAGAAAAAGATTAGTTCTTTTTTTCTGTTAGATAGTTTCAGAACATGAGTACCAATTCGAAAGAAAATGAAAGTAACTTGTGAGTTTCATCTTCTTTAGCAGTGTCATGTCCGAAGGAACGAAAACAAAGTAATGTAATGAATAGATAAATTTCGACATTATAGTGCTGATAAGAATTAAGACCACGAGAATACAATCAACCTGTTTATATAAAATTTTATATGAGTCACAATGCTTACTCAACTTTTGCTTTCTATATATGCTCGTCCAAAACGACGATAAGTTATCGACATTTTTCTCAATGGCGTGTAATTCTATGACTCATCATAATTGCGAAATCGAATTTCAGCAGTGAGCTTTCCTATCAGAATTTTGATAGCTTGCCAGGAGTAGACGTGGATATCTTGTTCGTAGTCATGAGACTTAAAAAAATAAGAGAAATTACAAGTTTGTATTAGTGACAGAAACATCCTTGTCACAGTTTTTGATGAATTTTTCACAAGTTTATATGCATACAGTATATTTTTGTCATCATGGGAAAAAAATTATTGTAACAATCACCAAATTTCTTTCTCATTAAACATTCATGCGCTAACTACGCTTCTTTGTTTGTTTTCTAACATTTGACTTAATTACTGGATTAAACGGTTGACATCTACAGACCTTCATTGCCATTAGTTCTATGTACGATTGCGTTTTATCTATTTTGTCTTTCAGAAAATAAGAACATGGTTTGCGTTACTACTTCTAGTAATCCATCCAGTTTTGAAAAAGTTATAGAGATTTGATTGATCAAACAATTATCATGGTGTTTTTATAACCAAAATTGTAATAGGTGATTCAATTGCATTGTGTAAAACGATACGTTGAGTACAGAGAGAAAATTTAGACGAATCAGTCATTCCTACAATAGGAGTTAAGAATTTAATAAGACTATAATCAGCACCAATCTATATTTCAGAATTTCTTTCAGATAACAATCTGGTCGATTATTGGTACAAGAGTTTCATCAAACAATGTGATTTGAAAATTTGTCTAGGATTGATCTGAATAAAACTCAGATAGGATAGATAAATGCAAAATTCTATTCACTATTCCATTGCGATAGCATCAACATTACATTTAAGTTTCATACTCATAAGATTTGTAGACATTAAGTCCGTTTTTATAACGTGAAAGACGATTAGGCATGTCTATAGTAGATTGCTGGTAAATCATCGAACTATTCTAACCATGGATACAACATTAACTTTTTTTTATTTTCATGAATATCATTTCTTTGGTGAAAAAAATTGGGTCTCAAATACATTATACCAAAGTAATAGTAACGTGATATAGGTTCTTACAAAAAGCACTGCTGAGAAGCAAGAGCCTATGGTTACTATAAAAGTGTGGGGGGGGGGGGGGGGAGGGGGGGGGAGGAGTATGGAGGGAGAT